ACCCTCAGATTGCAAGTACGAGTGCCTTAACCACCTGGCCATGTCGGGCCTCAGACATATATAATTGGTACATTATGTAATTTAATAATTAAGCCTGACGAAGGCATATGCCCCAAACTTAGTTAATAAAAGATAATTTTCATTATAGATGTGTGTTTTAACTTTTTACAATATCTCTTGCGACAATTATACTGCCTCCGCAGAAGTTTTTTTTTTGGGGGGGAGTGCAAAGTAGAGTGAAATTGTGAAGTGAATAAAAAATTCATATAGATATGAATAAAGAAAGAATTATGATTCTCATTTTCTAAGGTGAGCAAGTGCCTCCGCCCTTGCAGAAGCCCATGCTTGTGGTCATTTTTTTTTACAGTTTATTTTTAAGCTCCTGAAACATAGCTTACTGGAGGTTAAACCTAAACGCCTGATCCGTAACTCCCTTATATTATAATGTCAATACTAAGCTTTAGCTCCTGAAATATAACTTATTATAACAGGTATTGAAGCGTAACTGATAGGCGTTAACAGAATAACAATAGACCTGAGCTGCTGAAAAATAATAAACGTATACTCTACAGCTCCTGAAAGACAACTTAATAATCCTCGGACAATAATCATTTATCAAAAAGAATGGTTATTAAAAAGAGGCACATACAATGAAAAATATAATATTAAAATATTTTTACTGAATGAAAAGTTTTACACATTACATTTCAAATATCAATTCGTTGAACCTGAGTTAAATAAAGTTATAAATTAAAAATTAGTTTTTCAGGCAACACTTACTGTTCCATCGTTTCACTGGAAATTGAATATAATCTTTTAAAGAACCAGCAGATACAGTGTAGACTATTCATTTGTATTCTTTTACAACATACACGAATGTGCAATAGCATTAACAATGTTGAAGTTTTACATAAAGGAAGTAAAATCCTCTCCTGGATTATACAAAGATTTGGATATGGTGAAAGTATTCACAGCTAACAGTTACATAATTAAAAATTGAGTGCGTTTAATCATTTAGAACTTTGTACTCTGTAGAAAATCACGGTTGTTATCGGGTCTGTATTCTGACGTTTCCGGTCGTCGTTTTCTTGTTAATCGATCATTGTGACAGTGGGCACAGTGCCAAGTTTGGCCTAATCCCAAGCATCAGGGATCTTTAGCCGCCAGTCGATTGAGTGGCTGAATGAACGCCAACCATCTGAAGACGGCAGATCACGTGAAGCTGAATAGCCACTGTTGTATTCACTTGTTGGGAGAAAGTTTAAGGCAGATGCCCATCTCTTCTTTCTGAGGCTTACGTCAGAGCCCATTCCACAGCAAAGTGACTGTTTCCTCTAGTTACAAGTCTGGCTATCTGGATGAGCTGCTGCCTTCCCCTCTGTCCCCCTTCTGGTGGTTTTTAAGCTGCAGCTGGACCGCATCCCCGCAGTGGCGGAGACCGCGGAAGAAACTCGCGCATACGCGCCACGCAGACTCAGAGTTGGTGTTACTGACTGCATCACGGAGTAGACAGTGTTTAACGCTAGTTACTCCCAGCCGACAGACGCGAGACTGGTGTGTGTGTGTAGACCTGCTTCCCCCTTTTCCTCTCTCTCTCTCTTTCTCCTCTCATCAACGACATTTCTTCATTTTTTGCCACCATCATTGTTTAGCATGGGCATGCGCAGCAGGTTTGATCAAACGAAAGGGTAGTAATTTTACTCCAAAGATGGCGTCCATTGTCTGAGCCCTTCTGCTAAAAATGAAGCAGACGGGGTGCGTTGACACGAAAGACCACCTTCAAGTGGGCCAGGAGAAGGCAAGCAGGCAGGGGCGACTCGGGCCAACGACGGGTATGTCAGCCTGTCGTGAGGCCCCTGCTAGCTTCCTGCTTTTCCTTAATTTTCTAATCCAATGAAATATGACATTAGTGGCTGATGATGGGAGCCGCACGCCTTCTTTGGAAAAGCCATACAGAAAAGTTTTAGAGAGATGGCGGCCGTGCTTAGCCTCTCTCCTGTTTTTCATTATTGTGCTAGTAGACAACTTCGTAGCTTCTTTAAGTGTTAAAGTTTCAAGTGTTGTTTCACTGCACTTCCGTAACCCTTGGATACCAGAACATTTCCTGGAAGATAGAAACTTCAACTCCAAGGTAAGCCCTACCTGTCCCGTGTTGCAGGGGCCGCGCCAACCCCAGTGCCTTTCTCTGGAGAAGGACCTGTGTGCACTTTCATCGAGTAGGGAGCGGGAAGAACGCTTACTACACTTATACCCCTGCTTCTGCTCTCACTACCCCTTGACTGCGGTGCTTGGGCCGCAGGGTCGGACTCAGGTTATTACAGGTTCATCAGATGAGTGTTTGGCCGCCCTAACCTCAGTAGCTGATCTCGACCACCTTGCTCGACAAATCATGTGTGAGTTTGAATCGGTGCTTGGCCGGTACAACTGTGAAGGGCGGTACTCCGTTTTGTTCAGTAGTCCAGCTTGTGAGGTAAGTAGCAAGAATCCAACGAAAACAGTTACAATAATGAAAATTTTAAATAATAGGAAACATCCCAACAATCACTCATGACAAAAGAAAAATCAATCTGTATTCAAAGATAAGTTCAACAATTAGCCCTTGAAGTCAAATTTCAGTTATCGACAAAGTGAAAAATTTATTTATTTTTTTATTTACTCAGTTCAGTGATAACTTGTTTACTGCCAAATGTTAGGAATTTTTAAACTATTATGGTCTATAATACCTATGGAAGAGATGTAGCACCAGAAATTAATCAGAAGATGAGTTTGTTCTAATCGAATATAAAAAATCTCTAATTGGTACATTTTAAGCCCCATTATTATAATTTGAGTAGTTGCAAACTATTTAGTGAAAACATTATTAATACTTAAAATCAGATGAATCATATCAATTAAAACGAATGTTTTTTCTTTTTGTTTCGATTGCATTATGTTGACGGAATGAATTCTGATTTGGCGAAACATGTTGTTTAGTACAGACTAAAGTTAATATAATTAGGTTGATATAGGTGTGTTACTGGGCAACATTCAATACAAGCAGCTGTTTTCTGTCTAGCATTTACGTAAACCTGGTATGTTGACTAGTATTTTGCGATCATTATTAAATACTTTCTCACACAAGTTTTCTGTTTACTCTGTGACTTATCACACGTTGTTTAGCTAGAACTAAATACAGAGTAAATAAAAAATATATGAGATATGCTCATTTTACTTAATAATTATTAAGCAAAAACTGATACTTGAGAGGACTTACTGGTGGATATCCTATATTTCAATAATGTGTAAACAATAACTGGATTAATTATAATTTTTTCTCTTCATCACACAAGTGTTTAACTTCAGTGAAGAAAAGAAATAATCCATGCATGACGTAGATGTCTATTCTTTATTTTGCTATTCCTTCTGCAGCAGACAAGTTTCACCGAATTCACGTCTCATCAGTACTGGAAACTACAAAGTAATGTTTTGTCTTTTACTTACTGATGAACATATATTTATTATTATTACAGGATTACCCTGATGAATTATCAAAAATAAAATAAAATAACGAGCAGCCTTCAGTGCAATCTAGAAATTCAAAACAAGGTTTGGGCTTTCTGATAAATCAATAAATATATTAAATAACATGTCAACAATAGCTTAACTGATGAATTCTCAACAAATAAAATAATGAGTATATTTCGATGCATGCTAAAAATAAAAAAACAGATTTTGAAAAGATACAATAGAGATTTATGAATTGATCTAAATGAAGTAAACTTGAGTACAATATTGTCAAATTAAGAAGTATTAAGCTGTTAAGATATAATTTGCTAGATACAAAATGTAATTAGAAAACTGGAGCACGGTTACGAAGAAAGTGTTGAGAAACATTTATTGGTTGAATTATTGAATATATATATAAATGAAATAAAGCATTCAGCTTGTGGTGCCGTACGACTGAAAGAGTATAAAATTGAGTTAAATTAAAGAACGAGTACATTATGGAAGTAACTACTCTTCTGTCGTTTTTGTTTCTTTTATTTTAGTAAATTCCAAATAGTCAGCACATAGATAAATGTTGAAAACTAACATAATATTGCCATATGATATACAGCACCACCATTTATATTATCACAATTTTAAATCACGTTGATATCCATTAAATTGAATTAAATATAAAGATAGTGAAACACTTTCCACTTCAGTTGTCTTATATAACTAGATGCCAAGCATTAATGCAGACACAGAACAACATTATTATTCTTTTTTTCTCTAACATTTTCAATAAGAAACAAAATTAAGAATTTTCTGGAGACTTATCCGTATATAAAGTGTGTTTTTTTTTTCAAATACAAAACTTAAGTTATAATTGTCAAAAATATAATATTTCTTTGTCACTGCTCTTACTCCTAATAGGTTCTGCTGTTCTGTAAAACGAAACACCATGCATTTCGCTTTTGCTGTTACTTTCTATGTTTTTCTATGTTAGTCTTATACAACAAGGGACTTTCCTATGGTAGTATTTTGCAACAAGGGTCTTTCCTATGGTAGTCTTATACAACAAGGTACATTCCTCTGATATTATGATCTAAGACAACTTCCTTTGTTACGTTTATTTAACATGGCGTATTTTCTGTCCTTGGAAAGATAAAAAATGAATACACATGGTGGAAATAGAAATAGCACTTAGATTAAGATAGTAAAAATTAAAATACATTTCAATAAATTTTATATACAACGTTTCGGCTAGTGTCCTTCTTCAGGTAAAGTCGCGACTATCATCTAACCAGGTACCTTCCTTTTTCAGTGTTATCCACCAAGATACCTTTCTCTGTTACTGTTACTTAACAAGGTACCTTTCTCTGTTACTGTTATCTGAGAAGACGCTTTTCTCTGTCAGTGTTATCTAATAAGATACCTTCCTCTTTTATTATTACCTAACAAGGTACCTTTCTCTATTACTGTTACCTGAAAAAGTGCTTTCTTCTGTCATTGTTATCTAACAAGATACCTTATGTTACTGTTACCTAATAAGGTATGTTCTTACTTTACTGTTACCTTGCAAGGTACTTTCCTCTCTCTCTATTATCTAACAAAGTATCTTCATTTCTTACTATTACCTAACAAAGTACCTTTCTCTCTTAATATTGCTTAACAAGGTACCTTGCTTTTCTCTGTTAGTCTAATCAAATATGGCGCACTATTCTTAGATTTATGTTAGTTTTCTCTTTATTTCTATCATAATACATTTTTTGGCATTATGATAGAAATAAAGCATTCCTCATACCTTAATACGTAGACAGTCTACTGTGACGCTTATTAAATAGAGGCATAGCACGGTATGGTGGTTAAGGCACTCGACTCCGTAACCTGTGGGTCGCATGTTCGAATCTCCGTCACCCAATATGCTCACTCTTTCAGTCATGAGAGCTTTATAATGTGAGTCATGTTCAATCCCATTGTTCTTTAGTAAAGAGAAGCCCAAGAGTTGGTGGTGTGTAGTGTTGACTAGCTGCCTTCCTTCTCGCCTATCACTTCAAAATTAGGAACGACTAGCGCAGATAGCCCGAGAGTAGTTTTGCGCGAAATTCAACAAAAAATTGATCAAATACGATGCTATACCTTGTGACTGGTGTGTTTATCCAATCAGGCGTGGTTTTCCAGCAGTATATAGTAACCGAAAGTTTTCATCCGACGCGAATAAATGTTTGACATGTTTTTCTAACTAAATAACTTCTTCTAACATGATTATTTAATACAATACATTATAATGACATGGTACATCATCCTTTTGTTATGTTTACTCAACATTATGAATTATTTTCACATGATTATGTAATATAACAAACACAATGCAATCTTCGGACATGATTATCTAACATGGTACATCTGACATATTTATTTATAATACATTTCTCTAACATCATTATCCAATAGTATACGTTATTCTAGCACAGTTGTTTAACATGAAACGTTCGTTCTCTTAACATTATTATCCATAAAACATTTTATAATAGCTTTACCCAATGCAGTTGTTTAACATGATACGATCTGTCTTCTGGCATGATTATTCATCCTATATTTTTCTAACACCTTTATCCAACATTTTACATTAGTGCAAAATTTTTAGCATGATATATTTTTTCTTATGATATCGTTATTCATGACATATGTTTCTGACATCGTTTTTTATTCAACACTATACATTATTCCAGGACAGTTTTTAACATAATACATTCTTTCATAATCTTTCTCATGAAATTATCATTCTTGACATATGTTCCTGACACCTTTATTTAACATTATAAGTTATCCTGATACAGGTGTTTAACATGATACGTTTTTAACTTCTTTATCTCACGCTATACATTACTCCGACGTATGGGTTTAAAATGATGTATTCTTTCTTCTTACACGGTTATTCATGATACATGTTTCTAACACAATTATTTAACACTTTACATTATTCTGGCAAAGTTGTTTAACATGACACAATCTTTTTCTTTACATGATTATCCATGATACATTTTAAACAGTGTATCTATCATTGTATACTATTCCGTTGTAGCTGAAAACATGGTTCGTTTTCTTTTGAGATGGTTATACATGATAAGTTTTCTAACAATTTTGTCCATTATTGCACTTTATTTCGACATACTTGTTTAATATAATATATTCTTTTTATCACGTGGTTTTAATGACACATGTTTCTAACACCTTTATTTAACACTATACATTATTCTGACACAGTTGTTTAATGTAATACATTGTGTCTTCTGACATGGTTATTCATGACATGATTTTCTAACATCTTTGTCCAGCATTGTACTTTATTTCGACATAATTGTTTAACATAATATATTCTTTCTTATGAAATGGTTATTCATGATACGTTTTTCTAACACCTTTATTTAACATCAAATACTTTATTCCCACATAGTTGTTTAGCATGATACATTCTTCTGACATGATTATTTAACACAGTACTTTCCTCTGACACAGTTGTCCATCACAACGATATATTCTTTTGTCATTGTTAAGAAACATATTACTTTCAGATATCACTGTTATCGGTCATATTTCTATCTTACCTATGTTAGTGAAAAGGATAAAGTTTTGTGATATCGATGTCAAATGTTGTGTAATTGTGTAATATTATTACGAACCCTGGTATTTTAATTATTGTCATTATATTCTCGAGTAGAAGACAAGTAATTAAAATTTATCATTAAAAGGAACTAAACACAGACATGTTTAGCTGAGTGCAAAAATTTATCTAACAATTAGTTCCAGTATAATTAAAGTTCATTTAATAAATTTAGTAATAATATTAGTTTGTAAGTTCGAAACAATTGCCATGTGTTAGCAGTCTCTAAGAGATCATATCTTTGAACTTATTATTTCAGCGGAGTCTGTTGTATTTACACTTTCAAGTTTCAGGGACAGCATATTCCGTACAAAACTGTAACGAAAAAGCAAGTAGTTGTC